GCTTTTGACTTTTGATTTCACTGCGTGAACGCGTTTGAAGTATAGAAGTTGTGACCGTTTAAAGCGTTGTCAACCTCCGAATATGTATGGCATGTTTAATTGTGTACTATAGTAAAATGATATTCTTAATAAATTATGTATGGACACTTTGATTACTCTTTAGATTCCTTCAGTTTTACATATATATGTATGTGTATAAAATCATGTAGGAGTATGCAAACTATTTATTAACCAGTGAGAATCTTTGCAACAACATATACAGATGAATTTTATTTTTATGTTTATATACTGATCAGCATCACACAATTATGAATGTTTATATTCGAAAATGGATTTCCTATTTGTTAGGAATCATTTTATAATTATTGACTATTATAACAACGTTTAATAGGCTTCCAGACATGTTCTGGTTATAGGATATCCGACTGATACCTTGCAATCTTCCAAGCTTATTAATAAGCAGCCAAAATCCAGTCTTCTGAAGTTTTCTGAAGCCGTTGCTATCAGGCGGCCAAAACCTGATTTCTGTGTTCAATAGGAGATGGTGAATAATCTTTCCTTGCCTTGGTGATAAACACTCCTCCGTTGTGTCTTAAAATGTTTCTAAAACTCTTTCTTGCATTTATTGTGTCATTGAGTTTTATTTCTACTATCTTTCAAATTAATAATCTTATTTTTTCAACTGAGCTCTACTCATTATATTCATATCAATGTTTTCTCATTATGTAATCGCTTGTTTCTGACCGTTTGAACTGTTGTCACAATCAATGTTGAAGAATGTACTCGTACATAGTGCATGTATTTACAATATTCAATATATTTCCCCTTCCAGCCAAACAAGTTGGTGAAGCCTATTAGGCCCTTCTAGTGAGAAGCAGGCCACATCGAAGCACGGCTCAATTACCGGGGCTAGAATAGTTGTTTCTGCAATCCTTTAGAGTTTGCCCAATGACGAGCAACTCCATACATGCACCAATTTCGAAAATGTTTCGTCGTTTTTCATTCCAAATATAATTGTGCTATGTTTCTTTGTGGATTTCATAATCGATTGGTGAGTATCGGTAAGCGTGTGGGATTAGCCCGATCTCCACCACCCGGGTTACCGCTCACGTTGGTTCATGAGTCATTCGTCCGACTATCCCGGAAGCACGACGCGAACGTGTGAGTCGGATTTCGCCCCCCCTTAATCTGTTAAATGTTTTTACACCCTTGCTATACTATACGAATATGTCTTCAATATAACATCCAAACAAACTCTTTCATGTAAGTCATTCACTGATGTTAGACTCAATAAACATTAAGTATTAATGAAGTACATTGTTTGCATGATCTTACCACAGTAATCTGTTCATTTGTTCGAATATATGTGACAATTGTTACCAACTCTGATGTTATGTTGAAACGACTTATTGGTGATAGTTGAAGTCACGAGTCGATCTAAGTAAGACCATCAATGAGTGACTGGAAGTGCTGAACAGCTCCTGATTCCAATGAAATTGAACCATTTCCACAGTGTTATGCTGAATATAAATGTCTTATAAACCAGCAGTATAAAATATGGAGTTTGTATAGAGTTTGCGTAACATTTTTCGTGAAGATGCAATATTATATCACTGGACGATGAAATTGTCTGAGTGAATCTGAATATAAAATTGCGAATTTTTACATCGAATTCATGTAGTTTGAGTTAGATGGATTTCAACTGATCAGATTACGAAAACGAACAATTAGCAGTCAATAAAAAAACTTATACTGGCAAAAGCGCTGTCTATATTTACACTAGTAAAAATTCCGAAATACAAACCAATCAATTATTACTGACTTTTACAAATGTACTCTTAAGCGACCAGCTAGAACAGAACTGGACAACACAATTGTAACAACGATCTGCTTAAAAATCTGAAGACACATATCGCTCCAGCGGAGCACCAGATAATGGCAGAAACCATTAAGTGCCACTACAGCAATGTAGGAGGGCTAATGGTTGAGTTGGAAGAAATCGGGAACATTTTCTCTTAGTTTGGCTTTTAGTTCATAGTCCTGACTGAAATATGGCTATCGTGTGAAATCACAGATGAAAAATCGAGCTTGCAGGGAGTAATACTTTTACGCCTTGGTGATTTACAGAGTGGCTGTCCTAGTGGCTGGTATTCAGAATGAAGTAAGCAAACCAACACACAGTTGCGTTGGCCATCACGTAACATAGGCCTTTACACCACTGCGTTAATTGGCGTGTACAGGCTGCCTCGATCATTAGGTTTTCTCGTCTGATGACCGCAAGCTTCAGAAAGCGAGGTGACTTAAATGAGGCTCCTATGGCCTGATAAGGCTCGAAAAACGACCTCTACAGTCATGCTAGATGTTAAGGAAGCCGATTTAGGTCGGTAAGGCGATAGCAAAATGCTCGAAACTCGAGGCTTAGAACACGGCGATCACGGTCACGCCTATGGAACACTCCTCGTAGGCAAATCACCTTCAGCGACCTACCAACACAGAACGGAGCAACACAATTTCAACAACGATCTGCTTAAAAACCAGAAAACCGATGTCACTGAAGCGGAGTACCATATAATGACGCAAACCATCAAATGCCACTACAGCAACGTAGGGGCACTAATGGTTGAGCTGGAAGAAATCGGGAACATCTTCTCTTGGTTTGACCTTCAGTTCATAGTTACTTACTTACTTACTTACTTACTTACTTACGCCTGTTACTCCTGAAGGAGCATAGGCTGCCGAACAGTATTTTCCAACCCATTCTATCCTAGGCCTTCTTTTCTAATTCTATCCAATTCTTGTTCATTTTTCTCATGTCTATCTACATTTCCCGGAGTAATGTGTCCTTTGGTCTACCTTTTTTCCTTCGACCTTGAGAATTCCATGTGAGGGCTTGTCTTGTAAGGCAGTTGGGTGCTTTCCTCAATGTGTGTCCTATCCACTTCCAGCGCTTCTTCCTGATTTCTTCCTCCACTGGGATCTGGTTTGTTCTCTCCCACAGTTGGTTGTTGCTAATAGTGTCGGGCCAACGGATTCAGTTCATAGTTCCGACTGAAATATGGCCATCATGTGAAATCACAGATGAAAAATCGAGATTGCACGGCATAATACTTTTACGATACGATACGGTACACAAAAGGATAGATGGAATGAGAATATATCTTAACAGTCCCTTCAAATCCGCTATACCAAACAGCACCGAATTAGCAGAAGTTACGGAATCATTCTGATACTGCTTCAATGAGAATATTGTACAACTATTAGTGTCATAACTAATATATATTTTTGCTAAATTAGACACATGTTTGTTTACACAAATATGACGATATGTGGAGTATTGGTACAGTTCGGTGGGAATCATTAGTGATTAATCACATGTCTGTGTACACAAATATGAATCCGTTTGATTGGGTTACAACCACTGATATTAAATTGCTGATCAAACACCACAGCGTGTGGAGAGTAATCTGACATCGTCACTCAGTCGATGCCAGTTCAACTTCTCAATCATCACTCCACCTATATAACCTACAAACAATGCAACAAAACTTGTATTCATTTGTTTGTTCTATGAGATTGACTTGTCGGACATCTGTCACAATATTCACTGTTGCTTTCTAACTTCATCAATATATGTCAAATGAATGAAAATTCACGTATCAGTGTAATTGACAGTGTGGATAGTATCGATATCGATCTGGTCACCAATGTGAACACCATGTAGCACAGATAACATGTTGAGTAGATTTATTCGTTAATGATTGACTAGTTGATAAGCAGCTTGATGAAGTAATCAAGTATTGAATGATACTACGAATTAAATGCATTGCAACATGTAATGAACGGAATTCGGGTGCAAGACTACAAGCGATTATAATCGTATCGCTATAACAGTTTGTTTAGTCAAATTTGGTTGATAAAGTGTATTGCATAGTGAAGGATATCGGATGGCCTCAACTACTATATAATCGGATTTTTGTATATGGCCGAATTTGCCAATTGTTACTTCAGAACATTCAAAAAGCTTTCACTTTGCTTAGTGAGTGATGGCTTCGTAAATGACAGTCTGTCAGTGGTTCATATGTATTTCGTCGAAAAACTACCATTTTTTAGTGACATTTTGAAGTTTTAACTGTAATCGCTAAATCGAGCAGTTTTACTATGTGGCTTCTTAGATGTTGAAGTTCAAGTTTATTTTATATTAAGAAGTACATTTATCAATTCCTACTCATTTGTTCCGCCGTCTGTCCGCTCAGCTGCTTAACAATAATACAAACACACTAGTCTATCTATATCCATTACTGTATTCAAATTATGATATCTCGGTGATTTTGTTCACTTAGTATTTTGTCATTTTCAAACCAGAGTTCACGTACATCTTTTGCCAGACGTATGTATAAAACTAGTATCACTACCTTCTGAATATCACTTCAATTAATGACGAAGTACATTTGAACTCCGTATTTAACATTTCATGTTCCATTGAAATCTCATTCCGTTATAGCATACTTTCCCTTCATTTTTCCTCAAGATATATATCAATAATATTGAACGCTTGCAACGGTGTACCTTTCGTTTCGCGAAGGAATTCTCTCCTAAGGTCAAGTGATGCATTTAGTATTCCAAAAATGTTTCATTTCTACCCAATAGTCACTTAAAATGCGTAATACTCACTTTCTAGTTAATTGAGGTGTGTCATGAATACTTGATCAAATCTGTCACAATAATCCATGAATCAAGTGAAGTGCAAATTCGCTTCCCTATAATGCACTGACACACATGCACTCAAAGTTACGGAATATTTTCACATATAAATAGGTGAATATGTTGTAAGATTGTACATGGTTGAATGTAACGGTCACATGGTCATGTTGAACCGATGGACGATTCTGATGGTGACGCTGTTTACCTACTACCTGACATGTCAGTGTGTGTCAACCTGGCTGATACGTAGTGGCGAACCTGTTCAACAACGCACTGATTTCCCTTTCATTGCACTTTTGATGACATATGCATCCATGTGCACAGGCTCATTAGTTTCGACAAGGGCGGTACTCACGGCCGGTCATTGCGTTTGTGGAGAGACACCAATCGTTCGGGTAAGAGATCACACTGAAACTATTGTTGTTCAATGGAATCGATTAATTTCGCAGTGTTTGTACAGTGGGTTTGCATGGATCTAATGTTGACATACTTTGTCTTTTGCAGATTTCATTCCTATCACTGAGGGAATTTGAGCAGAGAACTATTAATCATCAACCTTCTGAAATTAAAGTTGCACCAGATTACTATCCTGTTTGTCAGTTGAAACGAGAAAATAAACGCATTACGAAGTCACTTAGTGGTTATGATATGGCAATTATAACACTCACTAGTTCGGTCAACCTGGAGACTGGGATTAAAGTAGTCAGTCTGGCAACTGAATCGGATATACCAATACCAGAAAGTATTGTTTATATGGTAGGCTATGGACAGGATGTTAAGGATTCTGATCCGGCCGGTCGAAATGGTGGAATTTTAAAAAAAGGTGAGATACCAGTCATCGACCCGTTTACGTCTGTCTGTTCTGATGGTTTTATTAAGAGGTTTTACACAACCGTTTTTCTATTCGCTACTTTGGTTCATTCCCACCATTTCTTATTAGCCTCTTGATTAGGTAAAATAGAATTAGTAAATATTATTTGGATGAATATATAACCATATTTATAAACTTCCTAAAGTACGTACGACTGAATCCAAATAATCACTGTTCATATTTATAAGTAAAATTGAATGACTCAAACTATGTTAAGGGTAATTGTCACAGTTTATATTGGTTTTATAAGAATTCAAGTAAACTTTCGCACTTGAGATTGGATGGGAATGATCTATTTTTGATGTCGTTTAAACGTGGATAGTTTTGTCTGATACTTTCGAAATCCACCTAACTGCTCTCTTTCTTCACATAGGTAGTGCTACTGTCATGGCATGCAGACACAAAACGTACGGAAATCCTATTTGTGTCAAACCTGGTCCAAACTCAAAGCAAATAGCCGGTCCAGGTGACAGTGGTGGACCTCTTCTTTTCTCTCTTCAAGGTCCAATTATCGGAGTGGCGTCAAGTGGCGTAGTCCTTTCGTCACTTGCTGATCTATGCGTTGAGTATTCTAGTGTGGCAAGAATGCTTAAATTTATACTATTCAATATTTGAATAATGCTAGCTTGCATCATTCCTTCAATTGTACATTGAACATCGAGAAAATCATATCGAGTTTTGTTAAGACTTAAAAAATAAACGATATAATGAATCAAAACTTTTCGAGTGTCTAATTTCTTGTTTCTTAGTAGGATAATAATAAAGTTTTTACTACTGTGTGGTCTACTAGCTTATACCAAAGGTTAGGATAGAAAAAAACTTGGTGTTTTTCTCAATGACTCAGCTAGCTCAGAAACAATTTTCCAGCCTAGCGAAACAGAACAAAGTGTCAGTCGACCTAAATAGAGAAACAGAAATGACGCTGGAATCCATGGATATTGCACGAGAGAAGATCTCTGTTGTATTATATGCTCGAAGGGAAGAAACGTTGAATGTAGTTATAATGTACCAATGATTATGGTAATAAAATGATGGCACAGACTAGGAAAAAACCCACTGAGCATGCAGCAGTATTCTTTTGAGTTATATGGCATAATTGTTAAAACTATTAATATTAGTGTACGATTTGCAGTCAGTGCATCAGTTTACATGTATATTGCTTCTCATATCAATATTACCGCTTTGTTGGGGGGGGGGTATATGATTATTCTTTCAAAGTTCGTACCATCAATTGGTTCAACCACCGTTAAGGGAAAAGTTGAGAATATCATATCATCAGGCATGCCAGTCAAAGGATTAAACTAGAAGAGAAAAGGGATGAATAAAAGTATTGCTGAATGACTCATTACATTGGTTTAATGTAAAGTACAAAACAGTTGTTATCAAAAATGAAGTGTTGTTACCCTCAATGTTTATTCATTCAGATCAAAATTAAAATTATGAGACTCATTTGTCCATTGTTTTGGGTCGTTTACTTAGTGTGCCTATTTACGCGTATTGTGGTGGAAGGATGCCAGAGAATACAACGGTTAAAGTATAATGTGATCTATCAATAACAGTTATTTTCAGACCTTTTGTAAACATCTTGTTCGACAAACAATTGTAGCTCATCATTATTGAATACATGTTTTAGATTCTGTGAAATTGTTGCTGTATATTGGTCTCAGAAGTTTAAGAGTTCGTTGTTAGAGCTTATTCGACGGTTTAGTTCTGGTTTTGCGAGTAAAATTCATTGTTTGGACTATTGTCACTTTAACTAGTATGCTTCTGTGTAATCTGAAACGAGCTACCAAATTTGGTTACAACGTTGACTAGTCGTTTTTGAATTGGCTAGCATGACAACTTTGCCCGGTTCTGACAACTAACACAGGCGTGTGTATGTTAGCTAGATGAGTGATGGAATTTAGAATCTAGCAAATTCACTCGAGCTAGTCTTAATAGACTTGTATTTAGATTTACTGGGTATATGCCTAAGAATATTAGTGGATATCCATCAAATTGCCCTGGCTTAGTAAGGGCATCAGAAATGTTGTTTGATAAGAAGATATCAGGCTAGATGAGATTGATATTTTTCATTAACAGCGTAAAAGATTCATCCACATTATTATTCAGTGTTGTTAATTTCTTCATGCTTCAACTAATTATCCGGAAGTTGAGGATATGCGTCATAAACGATTTAGCATACCACCGTCGATCACTTTAATTTGGAACTAAATTCTAAATTATCTTCTATTGATGATCATCAATCTTTGCTTATAAATGCTTTAAAACTAAATTCAGTTCAAACAAATTTTATAAAATATTAGTGTTTATTCAATGATCTGATCAGACTCTTAATGACGACGTCATTTGTGAGAAGAAGTGATCATAATAATAGAATGATACTATCCCTATGCATGTTTCCATAGATGAAGTTATGATCAAGCAATGGTATAGAAAAATGTGGTAGTGTACGTTACAAGTAAAGATAATGGCAAAATAACGTTTGTGGTAAAATCAAATTGGGTTGTGTTCTACGGTATTCACGAATATGATGAGATCTATGTACATGTGTATCTGTTTCCATGGTTATCAGATTATGATTTCAAATAATCTATAAGGTGATTGTTAGTGAAAATAACCTGGGTATTAAGTTTAATCATGAAATCCCGCGTTAATTATGATGTTGAAAAGACGCAACATGAGAAGTGATCAAGTGATTTTCTCACATAATTATTTACTAATTAGTGGTGACAAGGCACAACTGGCTGATATAAAATAATGATGTTACATGAAGAAGCGCTGCCCGTTACTTGCAAAATTGTATGTTATACATAATTTATTAGGCTGTACAGTCTTTCACATTGTTACATGTTTTTTTTTGGGTTTTTGTATCGACGGTGGTCACCTGGGTGATGTCAACTATGTTGCGCTCAACAGGTTCATCGGATAATTAATGGAATTCAGGCTATCCGTACATGAATTTGACCAAATCTTTCTGTTTGACGAGTGTTATGATGATGTTCTTAGCATTGTCTCAGTGCGCGTGATAACAAAATGGTAGGAAAACTACTGGGATGATCTGTACAGTTGTAGTGACACAGAAAACCCGATGCGCTTAGTTAGGGTCAGAGACATGGTATTCGATCGTTGAGGTTTCAGAAGAACCAGCCATGAGGGTGGATAAGTGAATATGAGAGAACTGATAAGCACTAATGAGGTCAGATCAAATTTTGTTGTAATGATCGAATCTAGTTGCTATATACAGTGAAACATAACTAGTAAGTGATCAGACTGTAAGGTCACTCAAGCAGTGGAAGCTGACCTTGACGTGTTGAATGCTATTATGTGAATGTGACTGTGACAACTTAATAATTATTAGTTACCAACGTCATTAAATTAGCACTCTACTGATCACAAGAGTAAAGTTTAGATGGATGGGCTAAAAGTTCTAGTCCCTAAAATGTTAAACAATCATCGGCGGTAAACAGATGTGGCGGGCAAGTACTACCCGCACCTCAGAAACCCAACTACATGGATGACATCATATGTTTGCTTCTGTTATCTTTGTCTTAGCAAATCAAGTTTTGTCTATTGCTTATCAGGTAATGTGTGGAAAAATCAATCACAATTCATGATGTACTATGATTTAATTGTCCGATGGACTTTCACTTATCGTTGATGTGTATTGGAAGGAGTGTCTTGAACAATTGTTATTTGAGATTGTGTGGCAGTCGGCCAAAGTGACTTCGCATTCATACCTGATAACGAAGTAACCACAAAGAAACAATTGTGCCGGTGGAAAACACGAAACTCACGAAATTTATGTCCTGGTTACCTAATAAAAAGTTTCGCACATATGTAGCATGCATCCAGTCGACTACATACATGTAATGACAAAATGAAAAACAAAAAAATTTCAATTGCAATAAAAATTATGAATGCTTATGTTCAACATTGCTCAGTTTATTACCATATTAGTCTTCCCTTCATACATATTCAAAAGTTCGTTTCAATTCACCCATCTATCAGAGATCGTTCGGTCACGCATCCGCACCACATCACGAGTGGGTACGCCGTGATTCACATCTCCTACAACCACTAACCAGCTTACATTAATCACTTCTTGATACATCGATATTCCGATACACCGATATATCTTCGAACCTGTTCGCTTCTGACTTCTGATTCCACTGGGTTGACACGTTTTGATCATGAAAGTTGTTACTGGTTAGGGCGTTGTCAAACTCCCAATTCATGTGGAATCTTTAGATTCACGTGTTGGTAAAAGACATCAACTCCATTGTAAGTGAAATAAAGTCTCCGACTGAGTAAAGTGGACAAACATACACACTGTGGACACATTGATATTATTTGAGAAAACGAATCAATTATTACGTAATGGTGTGTTATACACTAACCTCACAAATGAGATCACTGAAGAGCTATATAATGTTATGCGTAACCAATATGATTTGCTTATCTAGGATATGGCTAGTATGTTTCACATTATTCAAGATGATCATTCGACTTATGTATGCAATTATCATTGTGAGGTGAGACCACTGTATACGAAACACGCACTTCTATCTATTGGTAAGACGAGGTTTACTGGGCAAGTCAGTGTAGAATATACCCCGAAATATTATAACAATGGAAGATACTGCATTCCGTATGACATTGCTATCGTTTATTCTGTATAATTCCCATCAGTACATTCATGCAATATTTTCAGATAAGTTTCAATGTTCATTTCATACAATCAAATAATTCCAGACAGTGTTACTCAATGAGATAAAGTCAACATATTAGACGAGAAGAAACGTAATTCAGATAAACTCTGACATGAAGACAATTCACTGAGTGAGTGAGTGAATTGTTTTGCTTCCTCTTCAGTTATCACTTGCATAGGTTCCACTGTAGCATGTGGATTGTGAGAGGGAGAGAGAAAGCCTCGTTAACTATCATCATGTTCGGCATGTATGGTATCAGATGTGATTCGCAAGTGAGGTTGGGGGGGAGGAGGAAACAGTGACTGAACGAACGTCTGAGTGTGATTTGAAAATAGTCACCATTTGAAAAGTGAAACGATGTTGATCTTCGAATTTGGATAAAGTGATTGTTCACAACGAGTATTATGTAGGCTGACAAGTCCAAGGTGTTATGTTAAGGAAATGTTGGGAGTGAAAATCCACCGAACATTGATTTAACGAATGATGAGAAGTGGTCTCCCCCTTATGCTAACATACTCTCAAGAACAGTTGAGCAACATTGTCATACAGCAAAATATACCACAACAATACACGAGAATCGTGCACCTTCCGGTTAATAATTGGGGCGTGTTATCACTACAAAGTGAAACCGTCAAAATAATGCATGTCTGAATGAAGTGGAGTGCAAGTTGGTTTTCGCATAATAATACACTGACATATATGCAAAATGACGCATATGTACTGATCGGTCACGCAATATTGGTGCATATAAATAGGTGAATGTGTTGCAAGATTGTAGGTAGGTGGTCGATTGCAGTGATTACATAGTCATGTTGAACCGATGGACGTTTCTGGTGGTGACGCTGTTCATCTGCTGTCTAACATTTGAACGTGTGTCAACCTGGTTGATACGTAGTGGTGAACCTGTGCAACAACGCGCTGAATTCCCATTCATCGCACTTTTAACGACAGGAAAAACGATGTGTACAGGCTCACTAGTGTCAACAAGGGCAGTGCTCACAGCTGGTCATTGTGTTTGCTCACCACTTCCAGTCTCTCGGGTAAGAAATTGCACTGAAACACATTTTCGCTCAACGTAATTGAGTAATTTCACACAGAAAGTGTGTGGGTGTGTGAAGTTGATTTGCATAGATCTAATGTCGATATACTTTGTCTATTTCAGGTTTCATTTCTCACACTGAGGATCGGAGACCCAAAAGGAATCCATTACAAACCGTCAGGAGTGAAGGTCGCACCAGATTACATGCCCTCTTGTACGTCGAAACGACAGGGGGAACCAGCCCAATATGCGATCAGTGGAGCCGACATTGCAGTTATAATGCTCGCTCAATTGGTCAACGTACGGACTGGAATCAAGGTGCTCAGTCTGCCACAGCCAACGGATATACCGACACCTGGAACTCCGGTTTTCATTGTTGGTTATGGAAGGGATGATAACGACCGTGATCCACAACGTAAAAATGGTGGAATTTTAAAGAAAGGTGAGTGAGTTGTTGTTTTTGGTGGTGGTGAACAGACAATATGACTCATCCTGTCTGTTTGTCTGATCCGGTTGTTGTGTTGGTCAGAGCCTCAATAATTATATTCGAATCAATCTGTGAGAGTTCACTGGCAGAGTGAATCCATTTCCATCTCGGTCATTGGGGAGGTGTGATGGAGTTGGATGAGATAGGATTGGATGAGTGAAGATCCATATCTGTGCAAACGATGGATGAGTGTTGTTGTACATGAAGTAGATGGTCAACCAGTTTCATGTATATGTCGGGAGAGTGGTGAGATGGACAGTGAGTTGATTGGCGAATACGGTGCACATATGAGATTGCACATGTGAGTGAGATTGCATGTGAATTGTTTGTTGTGTGCATAGTTTGAAGGTAGATAATCTGTGCCAGTTGATATTTTGAAAATTCATTTGTCTCTTCTATTGTGTTTTGTTATGTTGTTTGTTTGACACAGGTCGAGCGTCTGTAATCGAATGCAAACATCCGACCGGTGGGAATCCTATTTGTGTGAAAGCAGGTCAGAATATGGGACAGTTACCTGCTCCAGGTGACAGTGGTGGACCTCTCCTTCCATCCTCTCATGGTCCAGTACTCGGTGTCGTATCACAAGGTGTCACAATTTCAACCCTCCCCGATATCATTGTCGAGTATGCCAGTGTGGCTAGATGGATGGATTTTGTACGATCCAATATTTGAACAATATTTCAGTGTTTGAACAATTCTCCGACCAACTCATATCATTCATACATCTATGTACATATTCTATCGACAAATCCACATGCAATTGTGTTAAGACATTTCTGATAAATAAACAACCTCATCAATTACTACAACGTTCCGTTCGTTTTCTATAAGTTGGGATGTGTGGTGTAATGTAATTTGCCTGTGTGTTTGTATGTGTTGGTCAGTGAAGTGTTAGTGGAACGGGCAGTTATTTACTTGCTGTTTTTCATCAGGATGCTGCTTGATCACGATGCATGAACATACGCACGTTCAGAGAGAGAGAGAGAGTAGGTAAGGTATGAAGACGGTTAGGGTTGATGTGACAGTCAGTCAGTGATAGCAACGAAACAGATTACAGAAATAAACTTCGTCATCATCATCATGAACATGATCGTCGTCGTAAATCACTGGGCACTTGTTGTTGTTGTTGTGAGAACAGTAGGGTTAATAGATGTGATTGTGTTATTTGACATTATCTATCTGATCGTGATTGAGAACATCGTCACAAATTGAACGAAACGCGCATTAGTTTTCTGTCGTAATATCCGTATCTGTATTGGTGATTTTGTTATTGAGTAGAAATTTAACAACTGAATTTGTAGTCGAACATTTAACGACCACTTTTATTATCATCATTATCATCATCATCATCATCTAATAAATGAAACAAGGTGTCGTTGAGGAAGTTAGTCAATTCTGTGAGGTTTCAAGAGACATTGGACAGTTGTGCACAATGCGACTCACTTGGTTCTGCTTAAGACTGATCAATCAATATACACTGAATGTCAGATTGAATTGTCATATTGAATTCCGATATTCGATTAGATATCGATAGTTCACATCACTACTGAACTCATATTGTCATTGTAATTGTTCCTCAATAGTACTGGAACACTTTGTATGTATGCCTGAATATTAACTATACTTGATGGTATCTGACGGTGATTGAATACTGAACATACAAATCACCGTATATATGCTCATTTCAGTTGTAGCATTATCACTGAAACTCAACATGAACGAACGCTCAATGTGGTTTGTTCATGTTGTTGTTTTCAGTGACATGGACGTTGACATTAGTGACATTTGCAGATGTCCATTGGAAAAAACACCAATCATCTCTCCACATGACATATTGATTGAACTGTGCAATACAGTTGATGTTCAACACGATCTAGTGCAGAATAAAGGGTTATGATGAAACAGTTGAGATCTGTTCGACTTTTTATATCTTACACATGATATTCATTGTTGATCAGTTTTTTGTTCATACAACAACACTTGTCAATGCATCGACATTTGTAGAAATATATCGATGCAACCAAAATAATCATAATCATAATAATTATTGTTATTATCATTACTATGATCATCTGTGAAGTGATTATCAGAAACACTCAGATTTGCAGGAAGTTAGTTACATGTGAATAATGTGTCACAGTGTCTGAACACGATGAAGGATTATAGTTGTTGTGGAGTTGATTGGAAGAAGAAGAAGAAGTGTAACATCGATGGTTCGATATTGTAGACGATAGGGTTGAATCTGGAATGTGGTGATGCAAACACATCCATGGATTCTTTGTATCGTCAACTAGTGATTTACATTTTGACAGTTGACTATTCGTGTTGCATCCACCATACGTGTTGTTTTTGTTTTCGATCTGTCAAGTGTAACAGAATGCGTCGATGTGTCTTTGTTGACAGTCGTTTTCTTGTTTTCTGTCTTGTCATTGATCACATCTTCCGAGGTGTTTGAGTTCGGATCGTTTGTGTCGTGCATGTTCTGTATTACCAGTGATATATTCGTTGCTTGTTTTTCAATGATCTCGACTTCAACTGCAGCTTCGATTTGTACATGATTTGGGATTATTTGAGATAACATACATTATATCGGAGAACTGATTAGGCTTTATGTTGTTTATCTGAAATCCTCAATGTTGCCTCGTTTAGACTGTATTTATTCTAAAACTAGTGAGCTCAATTTTGTCTGATTTTACATTAAAACCAATTTCGTATTGGCTTATTTTATCATAATAATGCTGCCATGAATAAACTTAGTAAGACAGTTGGATTATGAACGGATGAATTTTAGTCTATCAGTGAAAAATTGAAGGCTGTGGAAGACCGATTCATCTTGCTGTGGTACTATTTATACAATGCTGATTGTCGATCACGCTTAACGGGTTCGAACCCAGATCTTTTGTTCCAGTGCATCAACGCTTAACTTTCAGATCGCTAAGTGAGCGTCGAACGGCATTAATTTTTCTAACGCCAACTAATCCACGATATTTCGCGTCCGTTTTAACATGGTCTTCGATTAGTTGAGGATTTTTATTGCAGAAGGAAATCTCAAAAAATATATGGTAACTAGGAATAAATGTGATTTTAACAATAAAATCTGATAATATTCTAATTTTAATAGTTGAATTCTTTAGTCTAATCCATATCGAGTGAAGACAGTTATTCATCCCAACCATTGAATGATTGATTACGCAACTGCTCATGAATCAATAGAAGTTAGACATTAACACCATTAGATACCGTTTCAGTGATCTTCAGATCAAACATTCATGCACGAGACTAAAGGTCCTAGGTTCGAATCCTGTGTACGGGATAATGGATACATACTGCTAAGGAGTATTATACTAAGATGTAACAGTCTTTCAATGTATTCAGGTTTTTCATGTTAGTCCAACTTACATCAACTCATGAATTTAACTATTATAACTACTACAATCTCTACCAATCTCCATTCTCATGTTCTTATGTATCCTTTGTATCTATGTGTGTGTATTAAATTCATTCACCAATCTGCCTAACTACATTTCATAATAGAAACTTCTATATTGAATATTATGATTGGTTGATTAAGATTTTTCTATTTCTATTTCTAAGACCGAATTTGACTATGAAATGGTCTATTCGATGAATCCAATTTGAAATTTACTGCCTACATAAAACTAATCAAAATCATGATGATAATCAGTAATAGCCAAAATCTATTTAACCAATGAAATGATTCTCTTTCATAATAATGAATGACATTAGACATATATATATATATATATATATACACGTCAATGATCCGTAGACATTCTACATAAAGAATACGATCCAACGCGTCGACATTCAACGAACGCAGATCCATCTATCTATCTATCGATCTATCTATATAAAGGATCTAGAAAAATGTCATCAGATCAATTAAAACAATCATTTTTATCATTTTGTAATTTTGTTAAAAAAGGTTCTATTACAGCAACTGATAAAACCATTAAAAAATTATGTACAGATTGTCAAATTTATTCAAAAAATTTAGATACAAATCGGATTGATATTGAATTTCGTGCACATATTGGAAGTACTAAAAGGTAATTCAAATGATAGTTTTGTTGATTCTATGATGATGATCATGATGATGGTGACTGGTATCCAAGAGGTATTTCCTAGAGTTCTGTTGTGAGATAGTAAGTCGCTGAAGATAATGGTGGACGATGACGCAATGTCGTGAATGGATTGATGTTAGACAATGAACACCGTTGGATGTCGGCCAGTTCAGTGGTCTAGATATTGAACGTTCATGCGCAAGATCAACAGGTCTTGGGTTGGAATTTCATAAGGTGGGATCGTGGATGCGTACTACTGACGAGTGCCGTACTAGCTTCAATTCACTCATGAATTCAACTATTAAATTATTACAGCATTCACACAATCCTTCCCTGTCATTATAATCGTTATATGCTCACTGGAGTTCTAGCGAGCAGCCGTGAACAATGGAGTTCAACCGATTCTGTTGTAAGATTGTAACTTACTGATGACAATGTTGGACGGTGGTGAAATTTCGTGGACATTAACACTGTTGAGTGGTCTTTAGACTGATAGGTCCTGAGTTCGAATCTTGCGAGACTGAATCGTGGATGCGCACTGCTGAGGAGTCCTAAACTAGGATGAAACGGCCGTCCAGAGCTTCCAGGTTTTCAATGATGGTCTAAATTCAATTGACTCATGGTTTCAACTATTAAAATTACTATAATATACACAAAACCCCTCTCTGTTTTGTATATGTATGAACCGCAGGAAATCTATCTGGAAGCCAGTTCAATGCTTCTAGGCTTTCAATTGGTGGTCTAGTTTATGGTGACTTATGAATTCAACCATTAAAATTTAAATAAAGTGAGAAGAATATGGTTTGTGAAATATCTTGTCCTTCTTACTTTATTTTAATGGTAGGAAGTTTTGAGAACATATTTGCAGTTCAAACTGGTTAACTCTTTAATCCTTGAATGTCTACAGTAGGGAAGAAGCTTATCGTCTTATCGACGATGCAAATAAATCTCTCCAATAAATGAAATCAATTTGAATTATTCATTGTTTTTTATTGAATAGTCCTTTCTCTATCATTATTTTGTAAATTTCAGACTGGGGGTTAAACGATCTCATTAATCAGTTAGTCATGTAAAATATATAACGGTTTTGAACTTCTTCATCACACAATGACAGACAGAATCGAACAATTAATTAACTTTTAATAGTTGAGATCATGAGCCGATTGAAGCTAGACCACCATGGAAAACCTGGAAGCTCTGGACGACCGTTTCGTCCTCTTGTGGGACTCCTCAGCAGTGCGGACCCACGATCACGCCTCACGAGATTCGAAACCCGGGCGCCTAACCATTAGACCACTGAGTCGGTATCTAATAATAATAATGTCTAACTGTTAACACAAAGTATTTTCATAGAAATTACTCCCCCCTCTCCCGTACACCAGGCTCGTATCTTTTTCAGACAATGGAAAATGTTCACACAATATCGTCGATTGTTTGAAGTTAAAAATTAACGTCACTGATCGTCGACTCCAGTGGTCTAGAGCTTAAGCGTTGGTGCGCGATGGAAGGTCGTGCGTTGGAATACCGAGTTCGGGATCGTGTGTACCCACTACTGAGTAGTCCCACACTAGAATGAAATGACCATCCAATGATTACAGTTTTTCAGTGGTAGTCTAACATTAATCAATTCATGATCTCAAACATAATTCTTCCTGTTTGACACTATTATAAAATCGAGATCTTTACTGAACATCTGAAAGCACATCAATTTTCAGGTAGTTAGAGGTGATCGACAGAATCGCGAGACTTACATTTAAATAAGAGTCATAATTTTGTAAAATCTAGTGTACACTTATTTTGGAAACCTATCATTTCTCAATTTTTTTTTCTGCATAAAGTCACATCAGCACACTGATTGTCGTTTTACCCGTCTAATATGCGATTTCATTATTTGATGTCTTTGTGCTTGAAATGACCACGGATCAAGGCTTGTGTACTAAAGCTGAGTAATAGAGCAGTATAGAGACAGATTGTCCTATGAGTACACTATACTCTTAATACTTTATTCTAATTAAGGTTCTTTTGAACAAAGCAGCAAGACCATTGAGATTCTAACAACAAAGTAAAAAATAGCCAATGAACTTAGCAATTGAGATGAAGATTGTTCACGAGCTTGGTTGAATATTTCTCATGATAACATAGATAAGACACAATATGGCTAACACAACAGTTAGGAATTTCACAGGTTGAAATCATGAGTCAGTTGAAGGTAGACCACCATTGGGAATCTGGAAGAACTGGACGGCCGTTTCGTCCTAGGATGGGACTCCTCAGCAGTGCGCACCCACAATTCCGCACCCCGCGGGACCCGAGCCCAAGACCTATTGACTTCGCGTGCGAGCACTTAACCAATAGATCACTGAGCCGGCACCCAATGGTGTTAATGTCTAACTTCAATCAACCCACGAAGTTGCGCTACGGCACACCATTGTCTTCAGTGAGTTCCTATCTTACAACAGACCTGGTTGAACTCCACAAAACCCATTCTGATAATTAGGAATTTGTCCAAAAGTGTTTTTGTTGTTCGATGAGTGGAACCTCATTTGTCGTCTTTCGATGAACAAGCCATAATAATCTTCCTTCATCTAATACTATGAATACGTTTAAAATTACTGACATAAAACTCTTGCAATTAAGGTTAACTCGAAAAAAATTAAAACTTACATATAAGTTTATGATGATTAGAGTCTCTGGGTGAATGCTGACAATTTCGAGAACTAGACAAGACTATGATTTATGAACGAACCAATCAGATTTAAGAACACTAGTCTTGGATTTTGACGCGAAATTCATTCATCCATTTGGCTAGATAACGTTTTAGCATTTTAACTAATATCAGTTCGTGATGAAAACTCTAGATTCTATTCATAAACCTAACCATACACTGTCAATCATAATTCTAATTTCTCATATTGTTTTATAACCCTCATTTAGTCTTAGTTATTAGGTGGACATTCTTAAGGCCACTTAGGAGTTGTTCATTATATTGACATCCTCATAAAGTCAAGTCGTTGTGTTTTGATGGAGTTTTGTTCTCTCCCAATGGGAGACAACCAAAACAAAGGAGTAAACAATGACAAATTTAAGGCCAGTAAGAACCAATCAACGTCGAGGTGTACAGAACAAGCTTTGAGACATATGGAGAAATTCGAACACTTCACTTCTATCTGAAGTTTGTGCTGATGATGTCGTTCAGAAGAACGATGAAAGCTTCACGACCAAACCATCCAGCTCAGAGAACAAAACTCCATCAAAATTATCCACCTGAGCTACAAATCTTCCCCACCATCTCAAGTCGTTGTTTTCTCCATTACAACATAATGCATCTGTCTGAATAAATAAAGATGAATATTGTTTATATTAAACATCTATAAGTGTTTCTTTTTTCTTATTTACTTACTATTCAGAGACGTTGATTTCCCAGGATTTGTAAGTTTTCTGGAAGGTCGATTAGCAAAAGTTTATGCCGCTGCCAACGGTATGGAACATGAAGATGCAGTAATTGAGCTTAAACGTAAAATAGCTGAAACATCACCAGCGATTCATGGTGGTACTGTAAGTATATTTCATAGTTAATTTTCATAGATTCTACTATATTATGGCTTAAAGATTATAGTTAATATAAGTATAGTCATAAAACGTTTCAATGGTTGAATTCATGAGTTGATGTAAGCTGGACCACCATTGAAAACCTGGAAGCACTGGACGGCCGTTTCGTCCTATTGTAGGACTCCTCAAGAGTGCGCACCCACGATCCCGCTCGTGGGATTCAAACCCACGATCACTTAACCTACTGAACCACTGAGCCAGCATACAATTTACTATAATATCCACAAAACCTCTTCCTGATTATAATCATGTTGTATTGTTTGTTCGAAACTTCTCGTTGATGTTTAGAACTGTAATTGCTGAGTTTGTTATTAGCATATGTGCATCCTGTTCAGAGTGCATTGATATTGCCTTAAGTTACAAGTATTATAAGCAACGGTAGATAGTGGGGAGCAGTGGAATCGAGTACATGCGTTTCATTCCATATGGGAATAATCAGCGAACGGTACTAGTTTCGAGTCTCGGAGTGAACATCAACTCTGAGATGTAGGTACATCCAGCTGACGAGTCTCAACTAAGACGAAACACATGTCCTACATTCCACTATTAACCACCACCCATTTTTACTTATAATAATTCTAAATTATTTTCTTTCGCAATATTTGAATATTATTTTTCAGACAAATGCAAACAAAGGTGATCGGTTTTTATATTTCTCAAGTGATTTACACACTTTCAGAATGAGTAATCGAGTACAGTAGTTGTTATAGTGATGACTTGATCTTAAATTAAATTAAACTGATACCAAACATAGTTGTAGCGACAGATAAAGTTCACTAGTAGAAACCTGTTACCTATATCCGTAAAAGATAAGCTCTCCTTCTTGTCTAGTCGCCTCCATGTGTATCTACCAGTTCATCTGCTCTTCTGGAACAAGATACATTTACCGTAGACAGCATTCGCTTTCAACTAGGATACAAGAACATGTCACAGTTCGGTTCTACAATAGTGAGAGGAAAGCAGTTAGGAGTCCTATAATTGATCATCTAATTGACTGCAACCCTTCTATCAATTCACAGTTTGAATTCATGGTTGTATATACGATTCGTTCAAATCTACCTAGATTTCTTCGTATCCAACTCCTAAAAATAGCCGAACCTCTTGCCATCTATGAGCTCAAGCCAGAACTATGCATATAAAAGAAGTACATCTTATCGTTATTTGATACTTAGGCCTTTCTTCTTCTTATTATTATTACTGTATATCTCCCTTTACTTATGTCTCATATTCTCATTATTTTATTCATAATTGCTCATCATATCACTTTATCTACTTTTTACACCTCTATGACCTTTAACTATCATAACGAAAACATTTTATAATAGTTGGGTTCATGAGTTAATTGAAGCTAGACTATAATGGATAACCTCGGAGCACTGTATGACCATTTCGTCCTAGCATGGAACTCCTCAACAGTATGCATCAATTATCCCGCCTTCAAAGACTCGAACATTAAACCCAGGAGCTATCGGTCTCGCACGCGAACAGTCAACCACATAGACCACTAATTCAGCATCTAACGGTGTTAATGTATAACTTTAACCAATCCACGAAATCATTTTAATCATCTTACTTCATTCATGTTACAGTTCTATTACATCATTTTGGTTATTCCTTGTTCACATCTCCGCACGGAACTATTACTTTAACAGGACAAAAAGATTCATATATATACGTTTGTACAGCTTGATAATAATTGACATTTATTATTTATTTATTTTAACACATAGATATCGGTACAAAGAGGCGCCAAATATATACGCGCCACACAAATCTCATTTGATTTGTGTGAGGGCTGTGATACTGCTCGAGTGCCCAAACCAAAGCAAGTGGTTTTCTTAAGGAGCCACAACCGGAGCCTTCGACCTAAAGGTCTGATCCACAAGGTAGTGGGGCATCGTAAGGAGATGCAGTCCCATGGTAGCCGGTGACCAACAATTGGTTCATACGCCACTGGAGCCCATGTGCACCATTGGTTTGGAATCCTGTTAAAGTACCGGACATTCGCTTTTCGTCCTCTCAATTTCGTAAACAACACTCCCGCCACGAGAAGGAGTTGAGTAGGACTTCCCTGACAGAGGCTATATACGCGTGGCTATGTGAGAACTTTTCGACGGGGGAGAGTGGACTCTCCCCACTTTCGGCCATACCAGGGCATTTGGAGGCGATAATAATAATTGTAGTGAACAAACAGTTGACTGGGGTATAACCATTTAGTTGATTAATATACAATCACATAAGGATTCAGTGAAATGTGTTATTCACACATCAAATACACCCTTTGAATATCTTCCTGCAATTATTTTTTACATTCTTTGTAATTCTTTCAATTCTCTTGTTATTCTCAATACCTTTCTGTTCTCTTCAGTTCAATCTTAGTTTTTCTTTGACAAATTTACATACTACTTATATCTGTCAATATAAGTAGCATACACTAACTACTACATCAATCAACAGAAAATTGATTATTTATTGATTTTTTTAATTTTTTTTTCTTTTTATAGAAAATTAGCTCTGATCCAACAACATCTAGATTGACAAATGTAAAAACATTTACTGGTTCACATAAAGAACGTTTTGATATAGAAACTGGTAAAGGTTTAGGTAAAGCTGGTCGTGTTGATCCATCACCATGTTTTACTACTAGTGGAATATCAGAGCCAAGAAAATAAATTCAATTGTTTGTTTGTTTGTTTTTCCTTTGAAATATCTGATGATTCTCAATTGCATATGTATATATACATATATGGAGAGAGAGATAGAGAGAGAGAGAGAGAGAGTGAAGTTCTATTATATTCACTATTTACTCGTCTACCTCCCTCTGTTCCTCTCTCTTCCTTCCCTCCTCTCTCTCTCTCGCTCACGTACACACACGCACACATATATTTACGTGTTCATTTTGTTTCTATATGAGTTTTTATTTTGTTTTATATTCAATATTCGTACTTTATAAAAATGTAATTGCATCATATGACTTATATATAAGTGGAATAACTGTGTATCCATTTATAAACTGAAGAATTTCTTTCTTTCTTTTCTCTTTTTTCTCTTTTTTTCTCTTTTTTACTTTATATTATTCTATTAAATGAATCGAATTTTAAGTAAGTAAAGATGGATAGTGATTAGTCATGGAATCTAGGAGGTCAATATTAAGTGATGAAGTTTTAGTTCGTTGAGTTGGATGATTTGATTGTGAAGCTTTCATCATTCTTCTAAATGACATCATGAGTATAGACTTTAGATAGAAATGATAATAAGATTATCACATAAATGTAGCATGACCATCATTAATAAGGTGAAACAGTTACTCACTGAACATAATGGTGGACGGTTGCACAATATCGTGGATTGGTTGGAATTAGATGCCGACTCAGTAGTCTAGAGGTTAAGTGTTGGCGCATGAGATCAAAGTTCCTGGGTTCGAGCTTCACATGACGGACCATTAATGAGCACTTCTAGAGAGTCCCATACTAGATCGAAATGGCCGATTAATGCTTCCAGGTTTTCATTATTGATCTAGTTTTAATGGACTCATGAATTCAACCATTAAATAGGGTAATAACAGATATCTACCAAATAGATTTTCAGTGGTGATCTAACACTGATCGGTTCATGATCTTGAATAAAAGTCACCAATCTTCACAACCGTATACTGATAAATATCATGTGTTCACTAGTGACTAGCTTCGACGGGGGAATTCTCGGAGTTCTAGTAAGAATCTGTGACCGGTGGAGTTCAACCGTGTCGGCTGTGAAGCCGTTACCCACAGAAGACAATGTAACATGATTGAAGTTAGACACTAACACCGTTGGACGTCAAATCAGTGCTTTAAAAGTTAAGCGTTAGCCCTCTAAACTGAAGGTTGTGAATTCGAATACCGAGTGCAGAATCGTGTATGTACACGTTTGAATCCCATAGTAAAACGGGGCGGTTATCCAATACTTCCAGGTTTCCAATGATGGCTTAACATTGATCGATTCATGACCTAAATTTAATAAATTTCTATTGATCCAGCATCTATCAGTGTATAAAAACAAGAAAAAACCTGTACAAATCAAACAGGTTTTGTTAGAAATCTATAAAATGTAAACTACTGATATAATATTTAAGCAATACATAATAAATCAAGACAATTCCACATCTTAACTCCTGATAAATACTATTGTCCAATTACTTAATTACTTACGCCTGTTACTCCCAATGGAGCATAGGCCACCGACCAGCATTATTCAACCCACTCACTCTGTCCTGGGCCTTCTTTTCTAGTTCTATCCAATTCTTGTTCATTTTTCTCATGTCTATCTCCATTTCCTGGAGTAATGTGTTCTTTGATCTTCCTTTCCTCCTTTGGCTTTGAGGATCCCACGTGAGGGCTTGTCTTGTGATGCAGTTGGGTGCTTTCCTCAATGTGTGTCCTATCCACTTCCAGCGCCTCTTCCTAATTTCTTCCTCCTCTGGGATCTGGTTTCTTCTTTCCCACAGTTGGTTATTGCTAATAGTGTCCCGTTATTGAGAGAATAGTGATGCCTCTGTAGTTGTCACACTTGCTAAGATCGCCTTTCTTTGGTATTTTGATTAGAAGTCCTTCTTTCCAGTCTGTCGGTACTTGTTGCTCATCCCAAATTTTATTGAAGAGAATATTGTCCAATTAGTTGACATATTTATTATTATAATGAACATATTGATATGAATTGATCAGATTGAAAATAAGGCAACAAGTGATCAATAAGATCAGAACAGTATGATTGTTTTATTATGAACAATAATCTGAGAATTCTTGTCATAATAACAATAACAACAATAATAATGATAATCTGATTCTAAGATGTTACTAAGCAGGGAATGAAAGGTAGTAATAAAACCCTTCCATAAAGTAGAACAAGATAATATCGGTAACTGAATTGAAATAAAGTATAAATGATAATACATTGTAAGAACATAGAGTTTGGACTTATATTAGATAGTGAATGATATACTATACTCTGTACAATTCGTTACTAGAGTCAATTTGATTGTTCAATTGAAAACATTGACTAAAATAGGGAAAGAAAACAATGCCCTGGTACGACCGAGGGTGTAGAGAGTCTGCCCTCCCTCTCCAAATGCTGTCATGTGGCCACGTGCATACAACCACTACCAGAGTAGTTTTAATCACTGCCTTCTCACGGCATAATTGTTGTTTACGAAATTGAGAGGATGGAAAGCGAATATCCAATGCTTTAACCATGTTGGTGAACGCAGGGAGTCCACCTAGTGGATTTGGAAAACCTTGATTCCAAACTTCTGGTGCATATGGGTTCCAGGATACTAAGGAAGTAAATGGCATATGAACCAATTATTTGTCACCGGTTACCATGAGACTGCATCTCCTGACGTTGTTCCACTACCTTGTGGATCAGACTTTTAGGTAGAAAGCTCGAGGTGTGGTCACTTAAAAATACCATCTGTTTCTGTTTGATCGCCCGGATAGTATCCCATCCCTCACAGAAATCGATTGACAAAGTGTGGTGCATATATATATGGTGCCTCCTTGTACCTATGTTTATGTGTTTAAATAATAATAATAAATCTCATCCGCTGAACCTTGCAGCACCTACTATAACAGTTTAGATTAAAAGGTTAACATGGTTTCAACAGTACTATTTCTCATTGTCCGATTTTTAGTACACATAATGTTATTATAAATCTTTCCGAATATAATCAATATTGAAACAACTTTAGATAAGATAATGGTTGTAGGTAGTCAGCAGGAAACTCTGGACCTAGGTTTCGTGCTACTTAGCACTCATCAGCAAGGTGTACCTGTAATCTTGAGTGAACTGATACTCCTTAACGGATTCGATCCCGTGTCATCCAGCTTCGCAGTTAGTGACGTTACCACTGAGCTATCTAAGCATTCAGTTCTCTTCGTCTTAATTTCATAAACAACACCTTCACCACGACAAGGTAGTGAGCAGAACTTCCTTGTCAACAATTGTATGCATGTGGCCATGTAAGAGCACTTCTAAATGCAGAGCTAACTATCTCTACTCTTGCCGGTACCAGAGCATTTGAGGGCTACCAATCTAAGATGATTCTGTTCAATACCAAGTTATCTTCTATCCAAATCTGTTCAAACTTTATTGAATTTCTAAACTATCAATGATTGGTAAATCATAAGCTTTATTAATAACTAATATGCTTATTCAGCATCTCACATGATATAAAGAAATAACCATTGTTTCTCTTTACTTCTTTACTACTACATATCATCATTATCTAATATGATTTGATTATGAGTGAGTTAATCTTGCTAGTAGGTATACAAGACATGTGACTATTTGAGAAGAAGAAGAACAAAACGAAGAAAGAATGATTAGAATACTACTGAATAATATACTTTTAAGTTAAATCAATACTCTGAGGTATTTCATTGAAATTTGTATGTTCACATTAAAGTGGTCTTAATCATGAATATTGGCTGATATATTGTATATAAGTAGTATATTTAAAATAAGGGAATTTTTTCAAGTATCTGTGTCAGAGATTTAATGATCTTTATTATTCATATCAGAAGGGTTTTTGTGGATATTATAGTACATTCAGTAGTTGAGATCATTAGTCAATTGAAACTAGATCACCATGGAAAGTCTGTAAGCAGTAGACGGTTGTTTCGTCGTAGTATGGGACTCCTCAGCAGTGAGTATCCACGATACCGCCTTGTTAGAATTGAACCCAGGACCTATCAGTGGTAGCTCAGTGGTCTAATGGTTAAGCGCTCGTGCGCAAGAGTGATAGATCTTGGGTATGAATCTTGCGAGATGGGGTCGTGGATGCTCACTGCTGAAGAGTTCTACAGCAGAACGAAACAACCATCATGTGCTTCCAGGTTTTCCATGGTGCTCTAGCTTCACTTGACGCATGATCTCAACCATAAATATATTTATTATTGCTGAATAGTGGATTAATTGATGGTTTTCCCTAAAGAGTGATATTTATTCAAAACTTATTTTACCTCTGATCAATTAATTAACACTATCACTAATCATGAACTGAGTTTGTGTACTAATCTGACATTTTACTATAATTTCTTACTTAGTTAGTTACACCTGTTACCCCTCGTGGAGGAGTACAGGCCTTCCATCAGCATTCTCCATCTAAATCTGTTCTTGACAATCCTTTCCACGTGTTTCCAGTCGTTATTCATTCTTTTCATGTCTGTTTCTAATTCACGACGGAGTGTGTTCTTTGGCCTTCCTCTTTTCCGTTTACCTTAAGGATTCCAAGTTAGGACTTCCCTCGTGATATAGTTTGATGATTTCGGCGGCTTATATCCTATCTACTTCCAACGTCTTTTCTTGATTTCGTCTTTAGTTTGTATCTGCTTTTTTCTGTCCCACAGTATGTCACCGATGGCATTCGGTCATCGGATATTGAATATATTGCTAAGAAAACTGTTTATAAATACTTCTACCATTTTGATGTTTGTTGTAGTAGTTCTTCACGTTTCAGCTCTCTACAATATAACTAACTGTCTTGGTGTCCATATTGAAGATTGTGACCTTGATATTGTTTGACAGTTGTTTTGACTTTCATAGGTTATTCAGCTGTAGTAATGCCGCCCTTGCTTTACCAATCCTCGCATTTACATATACATCAGATCTTTCTTGTTCATCGATGATGCTTCCCAAGTACCTGAAAGATTCCACATCTTTCAGAGTTTCTCCATCCAGTGTGACTGAGTGTGTGTTCTCCTTGTTGTATTTCAGCATCTTGCTTTTTCCTTTATGTATATTGGGGCCTATTGATGCTGAGGCTGATATTTTACTATAACTTGCAATCAATTATTGAAGAACGATCAGTTTCTTGGTCTTTTAATATTTTGTGTTTACGGTAATAATGAAAAATAGAAAATCAATCGTATTGGGAATAACAGGTTTAACGAATTATTCTTTTGAACTCTGTGAATGATTGGAAATTCATG